CTTTGTTAAAAAATGGTTTTTTATTCCTTAGAACCGGGGGGGGGGGGGTGTCAAATATATGGGCAGCTGGCCAGAGCCTCTCTATCTATATAATATTCATGTCAAGTGTTTGCAACTTAAAACTTAACTAAGATGCAGTAAAAAGTTGGAAGAAAGAAACATCTCTGCTACACAAATTTAAATGACTGTTTCTATTTTCTTTTTTTTAATATCAGAAGGAAGCACTGCAAGTTACGTGTTAAGGACCTGCACAATTGCAAATTTAAATCAAGCTTCGTTTCTCCCAATTCAGAGTCAGTATAGTAATTATTCTCTAGCCCACGAAGCTGAACCCTGCTATTTCTTATGATGGAAGGTCAGGATAAATCAAAGGAGCTCCCCCGCGCTTGTCACTTAGTTAACAAAGCTTTCTGAAACTGCCGAAATAGGGGGAAGGGAAGGGAAGGTTAAATTAGTCGTATGCCAAACAATACATAACAGCAGGTGGACATTTACACTGCTCCTGACAAATTTTGCATATACCATAACAATCCCTTTCCTGGGGTTCCACTTAACTGGTAACTTTAACACTTTAAAAGAATATAAGACTCTGTTGTCTCCTCAGGCTTGGTTATTCATGTGTGTCCCTGGAGGGACTTCTCTGTCCTAGATTCTATTTCTCTACCACTAAGAGACAGGCTTCAAAGCCTTATATCCTGTAGAGCTCTCAAAGTGCACCTGCCACTACTGCTTAGCAGCAAGGATCATACCATACCCTTATATAATTTTCCTACATGTGTAGAAATGCAGTTCCTCTTCTGTGAAAGTCGTAAAAACTGGCAAGCTGTTCCAGCACTAAATTAAGTTTAGCCATTTTTAATAGAAAGGCAGACACTAACTGTCATGACTGCTGGCCAAAAATTGTTCCAACCAAAGACCTTTTGCCCTTTATTCCAACACGAGCCAAAACACTTCCTTATAGAATGGGTCTTATAGAATGGGGTTTTTACCCTTAAACCTAAAGGTTTCCATCACAAGTGGCCTTACACCCTATTTAAACTCTCTGGCACATCTTCAGAGATGTCTTAGCACATCTTGGGTAGACAAGGCTGCAGTACTGCAAACTCTCCCTCTGCCTGAAGAAGGGTGTTTATACCCAAAAGCTTGCAAAGAACAATTTTTGCAACTATTTATTTGGTCTAATAAAATATATCACATTTACCCAAAGAACCTTGTCTGCCTATGTCCTTAGAACAACATGGCTACAACCAATACCCCCTTGGCATTAATCCACTTCTATGGGCATTAGGAAATACAGAAGTGCTGGTACAGACAAAGTGAATGTATTTAACTATGTATTTAACAGCTATGCAGACAAAGGGATCCTTGGCAAATCCAGACAGTTCCATTTTTTATAAGGATATCTTATGAATGTGTAAACATTGCTGAAATACAAGAAAAAGCTGTCGACAACATCCTCACATTTGTAAATATTTGCCCAGGCAACTTCCACACTAGAAGAATATAACGACTTTTTCTCATCATCATTTCTCTTCTATTTTTTAGCTTATTTTATAATGAAAGGGCGTGTGTTACTTTAGGTCCTTGTTTAAGATAAACCAGACTCTCCTAGCATCCCAGCATGCTCTCTGGGCTGGGTTCTCCAGAGTAGGTCTGGCCCCTCCCCTCTGCTCCCTGGCAGCAGCTCCGGCAGAGACTTGCAGGCACAGAGCATTTGCCTGGCTTCCTCCTGCTCTCCCCTGCCCCCATCGCTGCTCACAACTCAAGCAGGGATGCCTTCCTCCTCCCTCCCACAGCACAGATGGTAGCCAGCAGGTGGTATGCTAGCTGATGCTGAGAAGTGTCTGTGCAAGGCAGACAGGACAGTGTCTTAAGGGCTTTTTGAAGCTAATCAACAGGCAATGTCCCTCCTTGGAATGTTTCTTCCTTGCAAAATGTTGTTCAAGAAGAGCTTGAACTAATGAGAGGGGCTTTGTTTTCTGATAGGGTGTTAAATGCTGATAACAGAGTTGTTAAATGCTCTGTTATCAAGGCATGGGGGGAACCCCTCCCTAATCAGAGCATCCTACTGGGGCCTGGACACCTCTTCCCCTCCCCCCCATCTCAGCACTGTAAAAGGGAATGGAGGGCTGGCCTACCACCCCCCACCCGGCTTCAAGCCTGAGCCACTGCAGGCATGTGCCCGAATTTCCTCAGTCCAGAGGGGATGTCTGCACTGTATTTTGAAGCAATTTGTATATGGGGTTGTACGGGACAAGAACAATGAAAAAGAAAAAGTTGTAAACATAATGAAAATAAGAGGCAGGTTTTGCTTGCCCTGTATACACATGCAGCACTCTGTTTCATGTTCCAGCTGAGTTAAAAGTGCCTCTGTCCTCATGCCAATGCCAAACAGCCACAGCCTAGTCCTTACTAAGGTTAAATTTGATAAATATTGCATAATCTGTTGATTTCATGAAA